GGAGAAGGAGCAACAAAGATGTCGCAACCCCTGCCACTTCAACTCGGAAGCCGCGAGCCGCCCGACCCCATCCCATTGAACCGCACCCCGCCCATCTTTACTGCAGCACCACGGAGGCCTTCTATTGGAAACTAGAGTTGTTACCTACCGAAGCAGGCGAAACCGATCTTGGGAGATCTATCACCATCGGAAGTCCAGCGCAAGAGGAGGCGCATCATCATGAAGAAGGCCGAGCGGCTAGGGGCCGACCGCCAGCGAAGCCCGGATGCTGCAGTGGAAGGCGAAGAACAGCGATGACCGCGGGTAAGCGAATAGAAAAAGGGGGGGGGGAGCAGAGAATATAGCGAAATATAGAGGAAAATATATAAAAAAAATATTTTGCCATGAAAATTTGTGTTGCATAAGCGATTATGATTACTGAAAATTTATTTTTATTTTAACAAATTGTTAATATTTCATGAATTAGAATTAAAATCAAGGAAGATAAATTTTATGGGTTGAATGTTGGTTATTATCAAGCAATATGATAATCATGACTTGTTACAAAATTATAAGATTACGATAATCTTAATTTTATAAGTACATTTAAGTAATTTGTATATAAACATCATATTTAAAATCTTAAAGATTTAATGTTTTAAATAATCAAAACCATCAAAAATAAAATAAAAATAAATACAAAAACAAATAGAAAATAATATTAAAGTATAAAATTTTAGAATGTCTTGATATATTATGTTGAGTATAATTGGTGTATTATCTTAAATAATCTAACAATATTTAAATGATAAAATATATTTTATTGTGTATTCCTGGGAATATGAGCAATAGTTAAAGGCTTATTAGAAAAAATAAAAAAAGTCATATTTAAAACTGATCCCGCACAGGCACAAAACTGACCCCAAGGGCAACTTCCCAAAGCGGACATGGACTCGGACCAAAACTCCAAACCAGAAACTGCAATATTTCTACGTCTTACAAGAGTCGAGCCAACGGCCCAAACCCCTCATCCAGGAAGACTACCCCCAGAACAAAGTCGAAGACCAGCTCCAAAACCCCGCCCCACACTCACCGGCAATCAAAGGCTGATGATCCACTAGAGCTACAGAACCCCATCCACAGCTAGCCCCACCGCCCAATCCCATAATGATATAGAAAATAAGGGGAAGGAGAGCCAAAAGCCATGAGCCTCCAACCCCTACAACCACTGGCTGGCCGGAGCAACAACCAGCGGCGCCACCATCGGCGAAACTCTGCCCAAACACCAGGAAACCGGAAAGCAAGGGGTAGATCTAGCTTACCTCCACTTCGACCACCTCAACACACTTATCGGAGCAAAACGTCTGCCACTTCGCCCGACTATCATCCTGGCCCACCTCGAAGCCGGAAGACAACCAACAAGAGGCGAAATCCTACCAGCTGAGAGGACCGCGACTCGATGGAGGGTCGGACCCATAGCCTTGGTGAGACCACACCACGGCAACGACGCCGCGCGCCCCGACAAGCAGAGTCGGGCGACAAAATTCTAGTTTTTTACTGCTGCGAAAAGGGTTGTTAAATACCAGTTTTCTTTTCTCAAAAAATTATTACATATTTACTTTGATTATCTTTTTTAAACGTTGCTCTTCAAATTTGGACTTTAAAAATTACCCTTAAATCTTAATCACTTAGGCTTAGTTTTGTCGGGATTAAATTTTTCACAGTACTTATAAAGAAAAAAGAGTAATTATGAAAATTTGATGATATAAAACAAAACCACAAAAAAAAACTTAACAAGAAGAGATGTTCACCACAAAAACCACATAATCATCACCCAAAAAAAAAAAAAAAAAATAAAGTGATAGAGAAAAAAGAAAGAAAGGAAGAAAGCTTAAGATATCCTTCAATCATCATCAATACATGGACTTGTCCATCTTCTCCACAGGAAAAGTGAACTCCTTGAACGGGCTAACTGCACCGGCTCTAGGCGATTTCGGCATCTCCGCAATTCTATTCCCATTGTAATCGTAATATATCACGCCTGAAAATTCCGGTGGCTGGCATTTTTCTCCCATCAATATCGCCTTCTGCCACAACCCGTTTTCCTCCCGACCGTTCCCGAGCATTTTTGTATCAAATTCGAGTCTCGATTTCTTGCCGCAAACCAGAGGAGCCATCGCCTTGTGGCCTACGGCTGTGATCACCTGCTTCGCGGACCGTAGATGCTTGTTTGGTCGATCTTGATCGTCGCTTGTCCTTGTCTTTGTCGAGTATTTTCTCGCGTGTTTGGCGCAAAGAGCGACGAGCAGCGAAACAGAGACAAACAGGGCAATTGCTAAGGGGATTGGTGACAAATTGATCATTTGAACTGCATGGTTTGGCATGAGACGAGTCATTTTTTTATTCTTTTTTTTTTTTGGGGTTTTATTATTGTATTTTTTTTTATTTTTTTTTAATTGTGTTTTGTGGAGTGGTTGAAATTTTGAAGAGGGATATGGAGAAGTAAGAGATCTTTAAATTGGCTTTTAGGTAGTGTTTTGGTGTTAGCTAATGTTTGGTTAGTAGTTGTGTTTGGCAAAGACAAATTCAACACCAATTAGTATATAAATGGAGACTTGAATTGGTGAATGGGATGGTTGGATAGTGACTTAAGGTTAATAATTCATTAATTCTTGTACAAAAATAATAATAATAATAATAATAATAATATAATAATAAAAATAATAATTCATTAATTCGGTTTTTCCCATTTTTAACAATTTTTTATTATGATATGTGTAAGTGTTTTTGGTCTAATATAATTATTATAAATATAGCGAGATGCTACAGTTTCGTTACGGAACTATCCCGTTGAGGTTTGTAACCGTTAGATCAACGGTCTCCGACGATTACATAACGGTCTCCGACGATTACATGATGATCTAACGGTTACAAATCCCGATGGAATGGTTTCGTAACGAGATCATAGTATTTCTAATGAATATATAGTGCTTATATATAGTTCAATAGAAATTAGAATGTGTGTTGTGGGTGTAGTACGAATTGTGTTCAAATTTTCTTGCTTAGGAGTTAGGAATGTGTGCTGTTTTTCTGTCATATATTTATGAAAAAAA